GTTAGTTTCTCCATTATAGGGTATCCGAGTTTGACGCCCTTGAGGACTCGACTGGTGTAGTACACCGAGTATTGTTTTTTGTGTTCTTCTCTGACCAAGACCAAACTGAAGGCTTTGAGGCCGACTCTAAGGTAAAGGTAAAGCTTTTCCATTAGTTTTGGGCTTTAGAGTAGAAGAGGAGAGGCAAGGAGCTGCTTAAGGTTTCTGAAGGCTTCCTTATATTTGGATGACCATTCAAAGCATCCAAGTTTCCTAAGTACTTTGAAGAACGAGGCACACTTATCACCTGAATGGGAGATCTGCTCAAACTCGCGATTGTGATCTGACCGGTCAGTTTTTGGATTTCCTTAGTGTTCCTGAGTGGGGACATGTTGAGGAATGTTCAGATCTTTTCCAGGTTAGCTTTTATGCCTTCATGGATTAGCAAGTATCCCAGGAATTTTCCCATCGTGGCCCAACAAATACATTTCAGTTGGTTTAATTTCATGTTGAATTTTCTTAAACATTAGAAAGGTTTCTTTTAGATCTTTAATGTGCTGCTCAACCAATCGACTCCTGACTAACACATCATCCATATACCCCACAATGTTTCTTTCTAATCGATTAGCAAAGATTACATTCATTAAGTATTGGTAAGTCCCTTCTGCATTTTTAAGCCTGAAAAACATTACATTATAACAGTATGCTCCCTCATAAGTAATAAAAGTGGGTTTTTCTGCATCAGCGGGGTGCATTTTAATCTACTGATATTCAGAGTATGCACCGAGGGAGCTCAGGATTGAATGGCCGACCGCTGAATCTACTAGTGCATCGATCCTTGGTAGTGGGTATGCGTCCTTCGAATAGGCTGAGTTCAGGTTGGTGAAGTCCACACACATCCTCCATTTTCCATTAGCTTTCTGCAACATCACCATGTTGGAGACCTAGGTGGGGTACTGCACTTCTCGTTGGTATCCTTCCTCTTTCAGCTTTCGTACCTCCTCTTGAATGGGTCCCACCAATGTCATGGCCGATCTTCTAATATTCTACTTCATGGGTCGAGCCGACGGGTCGACATTCAGTCTATGGCAGGCAGTGTCGATCGACAAGCCTGACATGTCTACAACTGTCCATGCAAAGATATCTTGATTTTCTTTGATGGTCCTAACAAACAGTTCTCTATGTTCTGCACAAAAGCTTCACTTATCAGGAAAAAATTAACCTGGCTATCCCTCAACGACTGGGACTTCACGAGTGGTCTCTGGTCTTGAGGCCGCCTTCCCTTGTTTAATGGATGTCTAGATGATCATGCTCCACCTTGCTTAGGGCTCGTAGGTAGCAGACTCGAGAATGTTCCATGTCTTCCGTGACCATGACGATTTCTTCGTCTCTAGAAAATTTGACAGCGACATGATAACTGGGGACCACCGCCTTGAAATCATTCAGAAGTGGCTGGCTAAATATAACATAATAAGGGGTGGGGGGATGGATCCACCATGATAAATCCTCTATTGTCGTAAACTGCTTCTCATTTTTTTCCTAAATTACTAGAAGATCGACCGCCCCCAGTGCTTCCTTCATTTCACCCTAGATCCATATAGTCGTCTGACTGGTGTAGTCATCCTATCAGCAGCGAGGCTCAGCTTGTTGAACACCTGTTTGAATAATGCATTCAAAGAGCTTCCTGTGTCAATGAGGATGCTTCCTACATGATAATTATTTATTATTATCATTATTACAATAAAATCGTTGTATGGATTCCCTTTTGAGAGGAGATCCTCATTGGTAAAGTAAATACGTGGGTGGCCTCTGAGTTTTGGGGCAATGTCAATAGTGCAGAGCTCCACTGTCTGCTGTCTCTCTCGATTTGCCCTCCTGAGTAGTTGACTTCCTCCAAATACTGTGGGCACTTATTCTACAATGTGAATGGCGTTGGTGTGGACAGGTTCGTCAGTTGTTCCTCCCGCGGGGGATTTGCCTTGTCTCTAAGTTGCGGCTCCAGGAGCAATAAATTCTTACAGCCCCTCCACCCTTATCAGTTCCTCGAACAAACTTTGTAGGTGTCTAAATTCCTCTGTGTCGTGCTTACGGTCCCAGTGATACTTGTAATATCTCTTGCTATCTCAGAGGAAAGCTCTAATTCTCATCGGTGGTGCCTTTCTGAAAAATTTTGTTCTGAATAACATCCACTATTTTCTCCATAACACTCTTAGAGGGTTTTCGTGGGGTGCCTCATGGTTGTGTCGAGGGTGCTATAATGATAGGATGATCGGTTCCGGGCTCTGATCTACCACCTTTGATTCTTGTGGTGATGGGTGGGGTTGTTATCATTTTGGTTATTGTAGCCTAGGCAGATATTTAGTCATGTGCTTTGTCTAGGTTGTTTTTTGTTGTCTTATAATGGTTGCTTATGGTGTCTCAATTAGGAGGGTTCCGGGGAATTCTAATAGGCAATGATATACTTGTTGGCCATCTCCAGCAGCTCAACTAAGCTCTGTGGCATTGCGATTTCAAGGTCAAAATGGATTTTTTCCATGCTCACTCTCTATGTCAGTGAATCTTGGCCCATGTCGGGTTTCAGATCTCTTACATCCAACGTTTCACTCTGGAAATGTGCAAAAAATGACTATAATCTCTCGTTCGCTCTCAACTTTAGTTGACATAGGGATCAGACATTCTTATTAGGCCCCCAGAGCTCTGACAAATTGGATATAAAAAGTCTCTTGAACTCCATAAAACAGGTGATTGCCCCCACAGACAAATCGTAGAACCACCGTAATGCGGTTGAGCTTACACTTGAGGGCATCAACAATTTTCAATAGGCATATAGACGATTTGCATGACGCAAGCTGGTTGCTGGGATCCGATCTCCCTTTACATGATTCTAAGACGGACATCTTGAACTTCTCTGGGGGTTCAGCTCCCGAGACATGTAGAGTGAAAGCATTCTCTGCCTGCCTTTGTATCTCAACCCGTGCTGGTCGATTCCTCTCCTCCGCAGGGGCGGATCCGACACAGTCTTGGTATAAGTCGTCATCAGGCTTCTCCTGTAGGTGGATCACTCTTCCTCTATTGTTTGCTGGTGGTTCTCCTTGCGGGGGTTATGTGCTCCTTACAGGGCTGATTCTCCTCCTGAGATTGCCCCTAAGACAATCATGGCTCTGAGCACTTCTACAAATTGTCTTGACATCTGGTTAGTGATCGGAGTTCTCAAATCTTCTAGGCCTTATTGAACGAATTTTCCATGAACTCTTTAGTGCATGCTGCTTCCACCACGTTTCTTTGATTAGATTCTTCTTGTTGTTGTTGGGCTCCTGTTCTTGTTGACAATATGTTTCCACGCTCACCGCATCTTAAAGGACGTTGAATCCAAAAATATCCAGGAAACACATCCAAGGTATAGAGCATTT